GGTGTGAGTTTAATTACCTCTTCTTCGACTGGAAGTATCACGTGTGATCTTCATTATTTTAAAACGAGTCATCAGGAATGTGCAGTGTTTTTGTTGTCTTTCATAAAATATAAAAGCACTCCATTACATTTTTAGATTTATGAATGAAAAACGTCATTTCCTCCTATGTCTTTTTTATTGGCTTGCCTGTCGTGGGGTTTAATTAATTTGTGTGAACAACTTGAGAAGGCGGAAGAGTTCCGATTTTACATTTTCTCCTGGGGGACTCGGGCTTGTTCCTCAAGAGACGCTTGTAAACAAGAGGATGGACAGAGCAGGAAAATGCTTCTCCATCCAGACCTGTTCAACCTGTAACAATGGATCTGTGTTATGACTATTGAGACAAGCCCCTTTTATTAAATTCTTTCTGTTATTTTAGACCTCCTTACTAAAAAAAATAGATCTATTTGAAGGATTTTATAAAGTATGCAACTAACAAGAAAAACAAATCTGAAGCGAACCATGCAGATCTTTTGAACATTATGACAATTATTGGTGTATTTGTTTTCCCGTGGTCGTTGTCATTAGTTCTGGCTGTGGCTGAAGAATGACCGTTCTCAGTGTTGTATAAAGTGCTGAAACGTGTAGCAGTTGAATCACACTGAAGCACCTCTGCGTGCTTGTGGGGAGGTTCGCTGCTTATCCAGCCACTTGAGGTCTTTCCCTCTCTGAGTGCTGTTTTTTTTTACAGTTATATGTAAAAAGGGGGGGAAACGTGGAGCTCAGCACAAGCCAGCTGCCCAGCCAAGCGATCAGGTGGGAGCTCACACGTGCAGAGTACAGTGGGGTTTTTTCACTCTGCCCTTTGTCTGATTAGGCGACCTTATTGCTTTAGTAAGAAGACGAGACCGCCGTCCCTGGAAGCAATGTGGACTAAACCTACTCACTTGAGAAAGGTTGCGCTGACCCCTGGTCCCACACGCACACAGCCTGTTAGGGGATGAGCGTGAATCTGCGATTTGCCTGCTTGTGTGCCAGTTAAATTAGGGATTCCAGGTCCATCGGAGCCGAAGACTGTGTTCTTGCTGTTGTAAC